CTGGAGGCGTGAGGCTGCTGTGCTGTCCAGCTGTGTGCTGCCTGTAGGCTGAGAGCTGTAAAGAACTGTGTGTAGTCCTTGGGTCTTAATGGCAAATGCCCCTGCTCACTCCTCCTGATCTCCTTGTGTCCTCAGAGACAAAAAGCAAGTGGACTGGGTGAAAGCTTATCTGAGCATCTGGACAGAGCTGCAGGCCTACATCAAAGAGTACCACACCACGGGGCTGACCTGGAGCAAGACAGTGAGTGCTGCCTACACCTGCAGAGCTCCTGAGATGCCTGCAGCAGATGCAGAGCTTGTGCAACTGCCTTTCCTCTCGCCGCTCTCTTGCAGGGTCCCGTAGCATCAGAAGGGGTTAAATCTCCCCCTGCCATCCCTGCCGGGGCCGCGCCGCCCCCTCCGGGCCCTCCTCCCCCGCCAGCCCCTCCCAGCAGCTCCAGCACAGACGACTCCGCCTCCCGCTCCGCCCTCTTCGCCCAGATCAACCGCGGGGAAGGCATCACCTCGGGTAGGTGGAGGCAGCACCAGGAGGTTTGGCTCCAAAGAATCCTTGTTTGGCTCCAAAGAATCCTTGTTTGGCTCCAAAGAATCCTTGTTTGGCTCCAAAGAATCCTTGTTTGGCTGCTGTCCCTCCATGCACCTGCTTCAAAAGTGCAGGAACAAAAGACCATCTGGTGGAGGATGAGGCTGGGAGCCAGAGGCAGCCCTGAGGCAGTTCACAGGGACAAAGGGAGCACATCTGAGTGTTCTCAGCCTCTGTCAGGTGTAGCAAGAGATGAATCTCTAGCTGGAACAGAGAGAGGAGCTCTTTGGTCGCCTGCAGGTCTCCAGTACAAAAGGTGCCATGTTAGCACCCACTGATGTTGGCACGAAGCATATCCCTTTTGGGAGTCACCTGGTTAGAGTGTGAAGAGAAGGCGAGGGGCTTTTCCCAGCTGCAGGGAGCAAGAGCTGGCACCTCCTGCCTCTACATCTCCTGCTCTCATCACTATTGAGTCAGTGTCCCCTGCTCCCTCTTTTGCTGTCACTCGGGCTCAGCGTAGGCCCAGTCTCAGTCCTTTGCATTTTGGAGGACGTTTTGCTGCTGGATGTTGTCATCACTGATGTCTGGCTTTTGGAGGAGAGCTGGATCTCAAGCTTGGCTTCTCTTGCAGGCTTAAGGCATGTTTCAGATGACATGAAGACCCACAAGAATCCAGCGCTGAAGAACCAAGGGGGTCCTGTGAGAAGTGGACCCAAACCTTTCACTGCTCCCAAACCAGCCTGTAATGCTAATCCCTCCCCAAAAACCTCTCCAAAGGCACCTGCATTGCTAGAATTAGAGGGCAAAAAGTGGAGAGTGGTGAGTGCCTGGAGGCAGCATGAATGGGTTGGTTGGAGGGGTGGGAGGTTTGCAGCAGGGAGGGAGGAGAGGGTCTCCTGAAGACCTTTCCTGTAAGAGGCCCTAGCCTGGAGTTACATGCAGTTTATTTTTCAAGGGGCTGCCCAGCCCTGCTCTTCACATGGATTCATTGGTCTGCATTCCAAAAATAAAGCGTTTTTCCTCCCTTTTCAGGAAAACCAGGAGAATGCCCCTAACCTGGTGATCAGTGACACAGAGCTGAAGCAGGTAGCATATGTTTTCAAGTGCACAAATAGTACGCTCCAAATCAAAGGCAAGATCAACTCCATCACCCTTGGTGAGTGCAGGAACCCTGAGAACTCCTTCTGTGTGCTGCTCTGTTGGTGGAGGGCTGAATCTCACACTTTTCTGTGACCTGCTCTTCTCCCTGCAGATAACTGTAAGAAGCTAGGCCTGGTGTTTGATGACGTGGTGGGCATCGTAGAGATCATCAACAGCAGGGATGTTAAAGTTCAGGTGAGTCTCTCTGACCTGTTCTCTGCCTGGAATGGGACTGCTGCAGGGTGCATCTGTAGCATCTGCTGCTGCTTTGAGTACTTCCAGCACTGGCATGTGCATCTGTGGAGCCCATTGGTGGAACACCATCTGTCCTGCTCTGCAGCTCACCCTGCCCAGCCCTGGGGAGAGGGCTGAAATCTGCCTCACTGAGCTGCTTTGGGGCTCTAGGTCAAAGATTAGTCTCTGTGAGGCAGGCAGCAGGGTATGAGTGCTAAAGTAGGAGGCCAGCAGTAGAATCTACTCTGATTCCAGTTAGGGTACCTGGTTTGGGATGGTCAACATGCCCAGTGCTCAGTGCAGTTTCATTCTAAAAAGATGAAAACAAATAACTTGGGATTTTCTGCCAAAGGTGGGAGCGCTTGAATCCAGCCTGTTTGTGGCAGGGGGGTTGGAGTCCAATCTCTTGCTTTGAAGGCAAATGCAGAAGAAAAATGTTGTGGTGCTCCTCTGAAGTGCTGCTCTGACCCCTCTGCTAGGTAATGGGTAAAGTGCCAACGATTTCCATCAACAAGACAGATGGCTGCCACGTGTATCTGAGCAAGAGCTCCCTCGACTGCGAAATCGTCAGTGCCAAGTCCTCAGAGATGAACGTCCTCATTCCCACAGAGGGTGGTGACTTTGTAAGTGTTGGTTTGGAGGGGACTGTGGAGGTCTGCTTGGGGCTGGGTAACGTGGGGCAGGACTCGTGTGCTGAGCCCTGCAGGGGATGGCAGCTCCAGCGAGGTCTGGAGGGACAGTTTGAGGTTTTGGAGGTTGTGAATGATGATCAGATGATAAAATCAGCAAATCGAGTTGTCTGTTTATAGTGAGAGATTTGCTGTTTTGTGAGAGCTGCTTCCACAGGATCTCCTGGGGGAAGAACAGCCAGTGGTTGAGGCACAGGGCTCACAGCATGTATTGAAGAAATGCCTAAAGCAGTGGGAGTAGTTCCTAATCTCAGCCATAAACTGTTTTTTGACAATAGGTTTCTATTTTTTACCCTCCAGACTGAATTCCCTGTCCCAGAACAGTTCAAGACAGTGTGGAATGGTCAGAAGCTGGTTACCACTGTGACAGAGATTGCTGGTTAAGCAGAAACACTCCAAGGTTCATGCCCTCCCCTGGCCCTGCTGTGGGACAAATCTGCTTTCAGATGATTCTCTTAGATTTCTTGTACCTTTCTGCTCTTCAAACTGCTTCTCTTCTACCCGAGAGACACAGCTGCCTGCCAGCACTGAAATACCCCTGCCTGGGGTTTGCTGTGGGTGGCAGGTCAGTTCTTGTCCACATCTATTAGCAGGAAGGTGTATTTTTCTTTTATTTTTTCCCCCCCTCCCCTTGTCTGATCTAACTGCACCAATTACCAAGTCGGATTTTCGGTGAACTTCACAGCCAGTACTGGCAGTTGGCTTTCAGAGTGGTGGTCCTTCTTTTTTTTGTTGTTGTTTTGTATTGCCTTTAAGCAAACTGTTCATGTGAGAGAGGAACGTGGTCCCCTTTTTAACGAGTAATGGTTTGTGTGGGAGTCCAGTGTACCCAGTTGTTATGGCAGATGTCTCAAGAAGGTCCTGGAAGCTGCTAATTCCAGCCCTAGGTACTAGTTGGTGGCTTTACAGGACATGGGAATGGTTTTTGTTGGACCAAAGGTTGAGGACCTGGGCTGTAGCATTCCACCCCAATTTCTCTTTCCTCATTCCTACTAGCTCAGTGTCTTTCTGACTGTGCCATGACAGGAGGCTTTCTATTAACCAGTGCCACAGGAAGGCTGCAGCGGAGGAACCGGCACTCCGGCTGGTAGCTTGGAGCTGAGCACCTCTTATTCCACGAGCCCTCCACCCTCCAAGGGAATCTTTGCCCCAGGGCTTCCTTCTCAGAGCAGCTGAACTCAGGTTCAGTCTTCCAGGACAGTTCTTCTGAACCTGTCCCCTTTCTGCAGAGGAAGGGTCTCCTCCATTCTCCTCCATTCCAGGGTCGGTCGTGCAGCATTGTAAATACCCGAGTGGGAGAAGTCCCTTCATCACACTCTTCCTCACCTGCAATCAGCCCCCAGAAAGTGAATCCTCTGGGCCTCCCTTTTCCCTGTCGCTTGGCTCTTTACTTTGGTGGGATTTTGTAGCCTCTGTTCCAGGGCCCTGGGGCAGAGTGGTGGATCCAAGACCCAGTACTGTACTGACCCAGAAAAGGGAGCTGCACCTGCTTTGACCTTCATCTTTCCAACGCCTCGGGTGGCATAAGCATATCTTAAAATGCATTTCCTCTGTAAAGTGTCAATGTTCTTTTTTTTCTCTAGGACAAAACTTACAAAAAAAAAAAATATGCAATTTTTTTATTTTGAGACTGTCCTGTGACTTGTACTCGTCTTCTCCTGAGGCTTGTGAGGAAACCTTTCTTATGTACTTAAGATTATACAGAAGATAGAATAAAGTTAATGCCAACTTGCTCATTAACAGTGGCTCTTGTTGACTCTCTGGGGGCAGAAGATGGGACCTCAAGTAGGACAAGCTGGCCCTGCTTGAATGCTTTCCCTGTGGGGAAATAACTTCCCTCAGCTCCCTGTGAATCAGACTGTCAGTAGTTGTCAAATATCACCTTTTTTTTTAATTAGTTAGATGTAAAGTTTTATTGATTTCATTTGCTGTACAAAAGGGCATAAAACAAGCCATTAGTTGAACACTATTCAAGCTGTTAATACTGACTTCATTCAAACCCCTCCCTTTTCCCCAGAGCCCCCTAAATTTGGCCCTTTTTGTGAAGGCCAGGCTGTAACATCATTCCTCTGCACAGAGCCATGTTAAGTCTACTTGCCCCCCCTGAGGAGCTGCAGCACTCCTGCACTGGAGGTTTGGCTAGTGGTGCTGGGGTGAGGATGGGTGCAGGGCACACAAACCTCACCGAGTGACTGGCACTGCCCTGGCTCTGAGCACTGCCACAGACTTACCAGGGCCTGTGCAGGCTGGAGTGCTTTGGAGTGAGTGAACAGATGCCAGGCTCTTGCCACAGGGTTTTGGGTGCCACCTGCACAGCACTGGAGCTGCTGAGCTGCCCCCCTCTCCCTCCCCAGCCCACATCCCCCCTGGGCTCGGCTGCAGGAAGTGCTGTGGTGGGAGCTACAGGGACAGACCCTCCCCTCAGCATCACTGGAGGAAGGGGAGCAGAGTGGTGTAAAACCACTCCTCTGAGAAGTGCAGGTGGTCCCCCTCCACCCCCAGGAACACCAGCTTTCCTGCTTTGTCCATCTCCTGCAGCCCCAGGCGATCCTGCAGAGAGAAGTGCCACCATAGCCTCTGGGGCCCCTTTGGCTGGGACCCAGCACCCAGGGAAGTCTCCATCACTGCAGCAGAAGTGGCTGCCCAGAGTGGGCTCCACCTCTGCTCTTCAAAACTTCTCACACAGAGGGAAAAGGCATTTTGGGTGTTTCTTAAAATAAGGCTTTAAAAAGGAGGGAATTGATTAAACACATGCTGAAGGGAGTTTTGAGCCAGGCATGAGGCTGAATTCCCACCTCCAGGATGGGCCTGGAGGGAAACACCTTCCCAAATAGCTACTGGCAAGAGGCAGTGATGCCCCAGGAATGGCAGAGAGGGTGAGCAGGGCAGAGCTGTGGGGTTTAGAGCCCCTCAAGGGCCCAGGGACACTACAGAGTAGAAAGAGCAGAAACCCCTCAGCCCCCAGCAGAAGGTACCTCTGTGTACAGCGAGGTCTCCTGCAGTGGGATGGTCTCCTTGGCTTGGCCTGGTTTGTAAAACCCAAACCACTGTTGGAATAAAAACAAGGAAACAGCTGCTGAAGGGCTCCTGGGAGAGAAGCAAGTCTGCAACACCTCCTGCTGCAGGCAGTGCAGTACTGGGCCTGTGTGTGCACTCTGCTCCTCACCAGGGTCAGTTCTGCCACTGAATGACAAACCAGGGCCTGTGTGTGCACTCTGCTCCTCACCAGGGTCAGTTCTGCCACTGAATGACAAACCAGCACCCAAAAGCAGCACCCACCCAAAAGCAGCACCCACCCAAAAGCAGCACCCACCCTGCCTCACCTCAGAGATTGGAGGGTCCACCATGGTATCATTGAGAAATTTCACCATCACAAATTTTTTCAGAGCCATCAGGTTTTTCTTGTAGGTCTCATTGATGCCCTGGATGAAAGCAAGAGAGAGCAGATCCAAATCAGCAGGAAGCCCCTGGAGACAGCTCAGGGAAAGCATCTGCTCCAACTTGCCCTGCAGCTGCAGAGGAAAACCTGGGCTGTGGCAGCCAGGGGGCAGGGACCTGCACTGGTCACCAGCCTCCCCTGGCTGTGCTCGTGGTGTTTGGCCTCAGCTCTGGGCTGTGAGGAGGGGCTGGGGAGGGGATTCACCAATGTGAAAGGTGGTGGGGGGCTGGGTATGTGGCTTATCTTCCCCAGCCACCCCAGAAGAGTGCAGTGACAGGGGAACTGCTCTGCCATGGACAAGTCTCATTCCTAAATCTACCAGCAAAAGTACTTTGGACACTCCTGGGATGCAGGAGGAAAAGAACTGCTGTCAGGGCCAATGTGAAGGAACTCACTGCTAAGGCTTCTGCCCTCCTCCTAGCATGTAATCATCAGCCAGCTCCTCACCCTCTCCTGATTTATGTCAGCCAAAAAGATGCTGTTTTTCCTGTAGTCCTCCTCCTTCAGCGGGTCGTGCCAATACTCTGCTTGTACCAGGCTGGGGAAGAGAGTAAGCCAAGATGAGAGCAGAACCACGGGGCTGGCTGCTGTTCTGGCAGCTTGGGGAGGAGACTCACTGCTCTTGCACAGCTTGTGTGTAGGCCCCCAGGTCCAGAGTCCTCCGGATCCAGTCGCAGAGGTGGGAGCTCTCCCCAGGGCAGCGGGGGAAGCCGTACACGCCTGGGGCACAGAGACATGGAACAACTCAGTGAGCCAGAGTGAAATCCCCTAATCCCTTCAGCTGGTAAAGAACCAGCCTCTTACAGAGCACTGGCAAGAATTACCCAGGGGATCAGGCAGCCTGTAATCCTGCAATCCCATTAGCCAGCCCTCCTGCCCCCGGGCGCTGCTGCACACTCAGGTGATGGATGGTGCTGCTGAGCTGAGGGTGTTGTGCTGCAGAATGGGGGCATGAGGACAATGAAACACTGGCCAGCTCCCCCAGTGTGTTCCCAGGAGGTTTCTGGGTGGTTCCCTACAAATCTTCCCGCTGCACTACAAAGAAATAGACTCAAGCCCTGGAAGGTCTCAGGGGAGAGTATTTAAACTTAATTGCCAGCCACTCTTAACTGTACATCTCTTCAACTCCAGCTCATGCTGCCTCTTTCATCTACTGCCAAAGCACCTCCCTCTCCCTGGGGCTTTAGCCTTCCAAATGTCAGCTGTAAAACACCCCTGTGACCCAGGTTGAGTTTCACAAAGGCTTCACTCTGTAGTTGGAAATTTCTTCTCCTGAAACAGCTGATCCCAAGTGCTTCAAGTGCTTCCCAAGTATGTAAGAACTGAACCCAGATGATACGTTGTCTACTTGCCAAGGTCCCTTCTTCTCCTGAAACAGCTGATCCCAAGTGCTTCCCAAGTATATAAGAACTGAACCCAGATGATATGTTGTCTACTTGCCAAGGTCCCTTCTTGTTGCCAGTGAAGTAAGACTAACACAGAAGGTCAAGCAGTCAGTTACCTGGGCCAAAGCAGATCACCAGATCCAGGAACAAAGGGACAGTTTAATTCCCAGAACAGTCAGTTTTTAGGAAAAGGCAAAAAACCCCCAAATCACTCCTCCTGCCCTCCCAGTGGTTAGGAAGGGAAGTGGCTTAAGAAGATGACCTTTAGAGGTCCCTTCCAGCCTAAAGCACTCTATGATTTGATGATTACCTTGGTGCTGCCCTCCAACAGAGATCAGATTGAGCATGGGAGGAGAAGGACACCTCTGGGCCACCGCCCGCCTGCGGAGGGAGAGGCAGGAGCTGAGCTGGCTCTGCTTGGCACACCCAGGCCACCCCTGTGCTCCACAGGCAGCTCTCAGCTTGCCCCTGCGTGGGCTCAGGCACTTGGGCAACACCTGCAAAGAGAATTAACCCTGCCTGGTAGAGGAGGCCTACAGGCAAACACGTTCCTTTGGAGCACTCCTGCCTTTGTGGAGGGTTTTGTCAGCTTACATCTGCTTAGTACTTTGAAAGAGTTTTAAATCAGAACCTAAAACCCAAGGGAAATGGCTGGGAATGAAAGGGAAGTGTGAACTTACAGGAACTGGCCCCCTTGGGAGAAGCCCATTGCGTTGTAGCCTCCTGCCAGGTGAGGGTCCTGTGCCAGCTGGCTGCACACCTCCTTCACTTGGTCATTCACGTTCATAAAGAAGCTGTTCTCCATGTCCTGGTGGAGGAGCCAGGCAAGAACATGTCACCTGGAGCTTTGCAGTGCCTTGCACTGAGTTAATCTCTGCAAACAGATTGCTAGCAGTTCTGCTTTGGAAAGAGGACCTTAACTTTCATTGTGTGTCAGAAGTGACATTCAGGTTTTGAGAATTCCCTTCACCTTGTCTTTGTTCCTCCTCTGCCTGGCAAAACTGTCTCATATAGAACAGAGACACTTCCCTAAACTTCTTGACAATTTGACTTCAGACTTGTATGTGTGTGCATAATAAAAAACAATTAAAAAAATCAGACTTCACTCATCTGCTCCAGATCTTAAAAAAATAACACAGTGCTATGGAAAGAAATTCTGTAGGGCTACTGTGGAAACCCACAGAGGTGCAGCAGAAGTCTGTAACTTTATTACACTGCAGACAGACAGTGAATAAACAGCTGTAAACCAAAAAGGATGGCAAGGGATAAAGCTCTGCTTCAGCACAGCCTCTTATCACATGCCTTCATATTACCTGGAGGGGTCACAGTGCTCATCAGTGCATTTGCATATTAATCCAATTTGGACGAAGGATTTGTTTTGCCCCTGTTCTTTTCTGCAGGTATTATCTAGACTTTATTGGTTTCTCCCTGTCAAAGCTGTTTAGTTCACAAAGAAGACGACTTAGCAGGGAAAGCACCATGGGAAT